CGTCAGAGTGTCACATTGTTTCAGTGTATTTGTGAGGACCCGAAATTTTATATTTTATTTTATCGAATATTAGTAGTTTGTTTAAATATTTATTTACTCATTTTTCTCCAAATTATTTATTTCGATCATTTAAAATCCATTTATATGGAACGACGCCTCTTTTATATTTTTAAAAGCGTTTTGTTAGAAAAATTCACTTTTCGAAAACTCGTTTAGTTCGGAACAACAAGTGCACGTTTTTCGAGACTATATTTGAATCGAGAGTGTATTAATATTGGAGAATTAAGAACGATCAATAATAGATTAAGAAAGGTTAATTGAGGAATTAATACTCAATTCACGTGAGGACTCGTAAAATTATTATTTTTAAACCCCTAATTTTGGCTCAATTAATTATCTATTTGGATTTTTGCCCCGAATATTATTTTCTATCCTTATTAGACCTAAATATATGGTTTTATAGCTTCATTATATTTTTAAAGTGTCTCGTTTCAAAAATTATTTTCTTAGAAGCTTGTTTAGTGAAAAGTGAAAACGTGTCTGAAAACTTTAGCCAATTGGGAGTACAATAAGCTCAAAAATTTGAGACTATACAATGGTCCTAAAATAGACAATTTTAGGTTTAAACACACAAGTAATAGTTAGTGGTACGATCGTTATAAGAATTTCTCAAAAGTTTCAATTTTATTGCGCCTAAATTAGAAATACGTGTTTTCACATGCGCGCTTAATTGAGGGACTTTGAACCATTATTTTGGGACAATTAAGAATGAATAATATTTATATGAATGTAAGTGCCCTAGAGGTTTAGTGCACTAGTGCAACAAACGTAAGAGAAATCGAACACAAAACGCGCGCGTAGGGCACTAGTTGTAATTGATTTGACGTATTTAAAATATTAGACGGCAAGCGTCTTTTGTACGCAAAGGAAACCAGAACCGCATCTCATTTCTTCTAGCTGCAATGGACGGATAGCTTCAGCCGTAACAGCTTCACCATTCCTTCTACAAATTCACCAAATCACTACCAAAACCTCCATAGATTCAACCAAAACTTCACATACACTTAACTCTACACTTGGACAACACTTTAAGCTGAAAAAGGGAGGAGCTTCACGGTTTTCTTCAGGCTTCAAAGGGACCGAAATTTTCTGATTTAAACAACCATCAAAGTAGGTAATGATCAACTACCTTAAACTTGTCTTATGGAGGTTGATTTATGCATTTGAGCTGAAATCTTCACTTTAGTAGCTTGTATTGTTGGAAAAAAAGTGGGCTCTATGAATTCCCACTCTTGGGTTGTTGCTGATTTTGTGCTTGATGAAGTTTATGATATCGGATCAGTGTTTAAGTTAGTGATTTGTTGAAGGAAAACTGCTGGAAACTCACGTTGAGTGCAATGGCCAAGTTTGACCATTTTGCCCCTGTTTGTTCGGCCACTTTACTGCAGATATTTGAGGATTTAATGACTTGATTGTGTTGTTTACATGTTGTAGAAGTTGTGTACAAAATTTCGTTGAAAAATATTGAGTTTTGGTTGATCAAAAGAATTTACTTTCCAAAGCTAGTAATCTGGAAACGGTTGCCGTCGTAACCAGACCAGTGTTCGTATTTCGTCCATAACTCCGTACTCCGACGTCAAAATCGAGTGCCGTTAGCGGCATTTGAAACTAGACGTTCCCATGTTTCCAACGGTGTATAATGTACATTCTGGTTCCATGTGTGTGAACCGCACCATTCATCTGAATTCAGTTGTCCTGTCTCTCCGTTCTGCCGCAATGATTTGATGATGCTGCAACTTTAGGCTTAATTTCGAACCAGTTGCATGCTGAAACTTGGAACGATTTCTTCTGTGAAATTTTAGCCCTGTGAATTTATTTTCTAACACTATCAACCATTCCCAATTTCGAGTTAAATTGAGGGAGTTATGATCAAAATACGGCGACTGCCTCGTTTTTGAAAATATTAGATTTGGACAGATTGCCTTAAGGATTTTTCCAAACTTTGGTTGATTGATTAACCACCTTTCCGAGGGTATTTTTCCCTGAAATTTGATAGAGAGATACCCTTCATATGGGAGTATTATACTGCAAAATTTGGTGTCAATCCAAGTCCGTTTCGACACTTAATAAAAGGTCCAAAGTCGGAACCAAATCTGGAAATTTGTTAACAGTCTTGAAATTTACCCAACTTTGAGCTACCATATCTTGGTGCTCGAAACTCCGATTCTAGATCCGCTTGTTCTGCCCTAAACCTTACTTGCACCTCTAATTGAGCTACAAATTTCAAGGGCTGATTTGCAAATAGTGAATTCTGATGAATTTTCAAAGTTAGCGAAAAACCAACCCCGGCTCAATCCTGGGTGATTTGGAACAGCAACTTTAAGCTCATTTTTGAACACCTTCCACTTAGATTCATGGAAAAGTGTCTTCTAAAAACTTTTAGTACTTTGGAAGAGGTTTTCAACGGTACCAAATTTTCCAATTTTCGACATGTGGAATCTGAGATACGATTTTTTTCAAAATATCATATCAAAACTGAAATTTTCTGAATTTCAAGGAAATGGAGTTTTTCAAGTATTCCTTATTCCTTCGATAATACTTGAACGTTTATGCTTGATTTCCAAGATAACAAAACTCAATTGCTCTTGTACATTAAGAAACTCCACTTGAACCTCGATTTACTAGTAATTGAGGTTCATTTTCATGAAATTTCCCCAGATTGTACTAGTGCACAATCTTCCTTGATAATTGGGATGTGTGAATGATAATTCACTATTAAATGTTCAGGCGCTCAAGAGGACCTTCCAGAGGATCTCACGGGAGACGCCTAAACCATCATTTGAACTCGCTACTTGAATCACTGTGAGTGTCAAGTGCATGAACTTGTTGTTAAGTGGTTATCTGTTTCTTATCTGTTATGTAAATTTGAAATTTTGAGACGAGAGTGTACTTTATCGCACTCGTTCTCTTTCAAATGAAATTATATTCAAATTTTGCTATGTGAATTCGTATCCGACTTGTACATGGTAATGTGGATGTGATTTGTACTTGTGATTCGTATATGTGATCCGTATTTGTGATTCCTATTTGGAATTGTCGATTTGAGCGTTGCTCATCGACTTATATTCGTATTCGTATTCATATTCGGGGAACGCCCAAAACTCGTTGGCTAACTTTGCGAATCGAGCCAGCATGGGCTTGGTCGATAAGCTTAGCAAACCATGAGATATTCGTAGAGCATGATCTATTGGAGAGATCTTGCTCGGCATTACTCGTGCAGTATTGCCATGATATACTCGAGTATTATCAAAAACTTTGATGAGCGGGTCCGGTAAGGGGGTGTAACGGTGACGGGATTCGAAGAAAAATGGTGTATCTACGGATTTGATACTTATGTGGTTGACGGATTGTCAACGTGAGATGTGATCAAGACTTCGACTCGACTACGTGGAATTTAGCTCCTGAGAGCTACAGTATCCTTGAATTGTTTCTGTTTATTTTTCCTATTCGAAATGTGAATTATTCGAATTTGATAGCCTTACCTACAATGTAATTGTTGTTGCTACTTGGATTATGTGTTTGCATGTGTGTTTTCTTGGCCTCACTGAGTATTGGCTCATCCTATTAGTTTGTTTTCCTTAACAGGTTGGATTGGAAGATTTTGGTAAAGCCGACTAGATTATACTTTTGATTGGAATCGGGGCTGTAAATGTGTAGTCGACTTTTAATGATTGCATTTTAGAACTTGATGTATCTTTTGTAGACATGATGTAAGATTTAAATATTTAGTTAAGGAAGCGACTTTTCTTTATTTTGACTCGTAGTATTTGGTATGTATCGTTAAGTTCGATTTGATTTGTCTTGAGTCCTGGCGAGAGCTGGGCAGGCGTCCCGCGGATACCCTTGGGTTCGCCCTTGGGAGAAGTGGGGGGCGTCACAGTATTTATGTTCTATCATTATTCCTCTACAAGTATAAATTTTACATTCATTTGTCTCTTTTGTCATTTTTAATATTCAATATGCATTGTTCAATCTTCAATTTGCAAATTTGGTAAGCTTTTTATCCCATGCTATGCACAGGAACCACAAATGGTTACAATCAACCTAAACTTTTAAGAAAAAGTATTTAGCATTGCTCTTATAAAAAAAAGTATGTAGAGTTTTACAATTACATATAATTCAATAATTATTATTTTTTTTGGTTGAATTAAGCAGTTTAAATTTTGATAAAAGTTGGTAGAATTATTTTTAGTTTGCAAACGTAAGGGCTTGTAGTCCGTGGCAAAGTTAAAAGTATTTCTTAGTGGGAGCACAAATTAGTTAAATTTTTTCTAAGCTCCTTCTAAAGAAATAACCCTAAATAAGGTACTTAAGCGACAAGAAAAAATGTTGTGTGTTAAGTAAAATCAATTTGAAAATTCAAAATTTTTGTTGGAACTTGAGTTTGTTGCCACCATGGTTCTCTCTTTTTTTTGGAAACGATAATTGATTGTATTTCTTGACAAAATATGTACAAGTGCGAGCAAAGGCTTGATTTAGCTTTACAAGCGGCATTTTTACCACTAAGGAAACCAAAGTTCCTCATCTAAGGTGATGCCCAAGGCATAGTTGCTAAGCTTGGAGCTTAGTTGATTCTTATCATTTTTAACTAGACAAAAGAAGCACATATGAAACAAATCTCTTAGCTGAACAATAACTTCCACAACAGTAGCTAATATGATATCCCTTACTTTTTTTGTTTGAATATGGTTGAGGAGTTGCTGGTTTTGCACTTGGAATTGCACTTCCCTGTGTTGCATGTTGGTAGCTTTATACAATGCCAGTTTTAGTGCGACTGCTTCGTCCACCAGTATTGATCCTGAGTTGCTGTCTCGTAGTGCCCATCCTCTCTTTGGTCCTTGATCTCCTTCTGTCAGACTGTTTCCAATGCCTAGGCAAGGCTTGTTCATATCTCTTGTTATTCCAATCCTCAATTTCACTATACCATATTCTGAAACTAACTACTGATTGTTTTGATGTAGTGCTTCTGTTTCCTCTGTGCTCATCCTAGTTTCCCTTTTATCTATCTCCCCAAATTCTAACCAATCCTCCTGTGCCTTCTGTATTGTCCTCCATGGCTGGTTTTTCTTTCCATTGAATTCCACCTCATTCCTATCTTTCCATATCTGCCAGAGAATATGGACAGATAAAGAAATATGTTGCCATCCTTCTGGTCTGTGTCTGGCTTCTGCAATTGATATCCACCATCTTTTAAAACTTCCATGCTGTTCCATCATTCCTTTCCATTGGATTGGGGCTAACTTCCATGTCTGTTTTGCTTCACTGCAGTTCAAAAGTGCATGTTCAATCGTCTCCCTTTCCTCTCCACATCTCTTGCAAATGGGATCCCCAACTTTGATTTTGCCATAGATGGTGTCTCTCACTGGAAGAGCATTGTTGAGGCATTTTCATAGGAATATTTTCTGTTTATGCTTTACCTTCAGTCTCCACAATTCCTCCATAGCTTTCTGGTTTGATTCTCCCAACTTGTAGAGCCCTCCATCTGGTTTCTTTTCTGCTTGTTATCATTGTTAAGAGCCTGCACCTTATACCCTGAATTGACTGAGTAATTTCCATCTACCCCATGTATCCAAAAATGGCTATCTTCCCTTCCTGATAAGCTTATTGGTATACTCAGGATCCTGTCTGCATCTTCTCTGTTGAAATTTTGGAAAACCAAATTCCTGTTCCATCTCTTCTGGCAAATCAGCTCTTCCACTTTCTGAAGTCCATTGTCCATAGCTCTCCTGGTTGTCACTCTTCCATTTGATGTATCTGGGATCCAGCTATCTTCCCATATATTTTTGTTTTTTCCATTGCCAATCTTTCTTCTGGTCCCTTGTTCCACCAGCTCTCTAGCTCCCACAAGGCTCCTCCATATCCAGGATGCATTGTTTGGGACTTTGCACCTGAATATGGAGGTCCAGGGAAAGTATTTTGCCTTCATAACTTGATTGACTAGAAGGTTAGGTTGTGTTATCAGCCTCCATACCTGTTTTCCTAGTAGTGCCGTATTAAATGCCTCCAAGTCTTTGAAGCCTAAGCCTCCCATGTTCTTGTTTTGAGTGAGCTTCCTCCAGGAGCACCAGTGTACTTTATTCTTTCCATTGGCCTTTCCCCACCAATAGTTTGACATTAGTGAACTGATTTCCTTACACAATCTAGATGGAACCTTGAAGCAGGACATAGTGTACGTAGGCATAGCTAGAGCTACTGATTTAAGCATTATTTCCTTTCCTGCTGCACTTAAGAATCTATTTTTCCACTTGAGAATTCTCTGTTGTATGTTTGTCTTGACAAATGCAAAAATCTGCTCTTTTGTTCTTGATACTACCATTGGTAATCCGAGGTACTTGCCTTGACTTACTCTTTGCATGTTCCCCGTGGTTTGACAAATCTCATGCATCAATTCTGGCCTCACATTCTTACTTAACAGTATGGAAGACTTATCCAGATTTATCAGTTGGCTTGACCGCAAGGCATACACTTGCAGCACCCTCGTTAACTCAGTTGCCTGATCCATATTTGCTTTGTAAAAGATCAATGAATCATCTGCAAAGAACAGATGTGTAATACTAGGTCCATGTCTGCTTATCCTCATCCCTAAGAGCTTCCTATTTGATGCAGCCTTCCTGATCAGGTTGGAAAATCCCTCAGAACAAAGTAGAAATAGATAAAGGGATAGAGGGTCCCCTTGTCTGATTCCTCTTCTGGGGTTCGCATATTCTCTAACCTCCCCATTTATATTAAAAGAGTAGGATACAGATCTTAAGCACTCCATAATCTAGTTTCTCCATTTGCAGTGAAATCCCATCTTTGTCATGATTGCTTCCAGAAAACTCCATTCCACTCGGTCGTAAGCTTTAGACATGTCTAGCTTCACTGCCATGAACCCATCCTTACCTTGTCTTTTGTTTTTTAGATAATGCAAATATTCATGAGAGACCATTATGTTGTCTAGTATTTGGCTACCAGGGATGAATGCAGATTGGTTTTTGCAAATGCAACAATGCAAGACACCTTTTAGCCTATTTGCTAGGATTTTAGCAATGACTTTGTACATAGTATTGCAGAGGCTTATGGGTCTAAACTGCTTCAGGGATGTAGGATTCAACACTTTGGGGATGAGAGTGATCACAGTATGATTAACACTCTTTAAGAGGTGACCAGTATGAAAAAAGATTTGGATTGCATTTACCACTTCTTTTTTTATGGTAGTCCAGAATTTTTGAAAGAAAATGGTGACATGCCATCAGCCCCAGGAGCTTTATCTGGGTTCATAGAGAAAATTACAGATTTAATTACAAAAAAGTGGTGACATGCCATCAGCCACCTTGGTTCTCTTCATTTGCATGTTCTTTGCCAAATTACTATGACATCTATGATCGAGATCTTGGCACAATTTATAATTGTTAATAGATTTCAAACGAATTATAGTCCTTTTCTTTTTGCCCCCCCAACACACACACAAAACGCATGTACAGATTTTAAGTCTATTTTAAGCATTTTCACTTGGCTAGTGGAGAGTACGTGCCTCCACTGACCAACTACTACATCTGCCACTGTTTTAATATTTAAAAGAAAAAAAATCTGGTTAGAGTTTTACTTCTTTTTTTTTAATTTAAAGTGGTGTAGATGTGGTAGAAGAACTCTTTGAAATTTAAAACTATTGTTGAAGTACTACACTAATGAAGAAAAATATGGAGAATTAATTGTACTTTGTAGAATTTAAACTATTACTATAAAATTTAAACTGGTAAATTTCTAATCTTTTGCATACATTTTCCAACTTAAGAAAAGTAACCATATCTCCTAAATAGAAAGTTCAAAATCAATTAACAATTTTTTATAATCACACTCACCTATTTGTTCATTTTTCATTCAAGGCTATTCAATTATTACGGTTTTTCCCCTTACGTTTTGCTGAAATGGTATGCAACGTTACTATGTTTCATACAATTTCCCAATTCAACCATGGGTTAAGGTTCATTGAAAACTAATCGTCAAACTATGAATGAATTATTTATTCATATTCTATGTAACTTTCAATGTTTGTTTTATATTTTGTGTCTTATGGGTTATACTCTTTTTTGGTTTATTTGTATCCATGTTTTTTTTAAGTATAATCCGTGACTGGTTTCCTTGATTTCTTGAAAAACTTTATAGTTCTTGAAATTTCTGGACAAAAGTCTTGAATTTCTTGAAGCATCTTGATCAATTTCTTAGAAATCTTGGAAATCTTGAAGTTCTTGGATTGAAAAGTGGGGGTTTCTTGAAATTCTTGAACTAAAGTTCCAAAACTCGTGAACCAATTCGTCTTCTTGAATATTGCAAGCGGCTGTTCTTGTTCTTGAAATTGGGTGATCTGAAGTGAAAAGGGAAAAAAAAAAAGAGGAGATAGAATTTGGTTTTCGATCCATGAGAGAAAAAAAGAAGAAAGAAATAGTTTGGAAACAAGAAGCCAAATTGGAATCGACAACCGAAAGCAATTCGGAATTTTTCTTCCAAAGCTGGACATAGAATCTTTGTTTGATTTGGTTGGCTTTTTCCAGCTGCAAAACCCAAAAGTTTCCTCAGAAAACATCTTAAAACAGCATTTTCTTCTTAGGATTGAATCCAAAAGCCATTTGGATTTACTGTCCAGATTTCCAGCAACAAATACATTCGGGTAGAACCTTTTCTAAGTTCCAAAATTTCTGCCACATTGAGTCTTTGTTCCAGCCTTTAAATCTGGTTTGTCCAGCTACATTGTGTTCGTCTGATATGAGCTCGATTCCCCAAACTCCCACTCTGGAAGAAATGAATTGCACAGGCAGCGAAAGAATCTATCTTGATCAGGTTATGAATACAAAGGATAGATTCTAAACCAATCAAGGATAGTTCAAGATTGTTTAGAATGGTAAAAAGGCACCACAATTCAACGCGGTCTTGAATTGATAAACCAAATTTGTATAAAGGAGAGACAACTCACTTTGTATCAAGGGACGTTTCCAAGAAACAAGAAAGATAAAGAACTCTCACAATTTTATTCACAATCACCTTCTTTGAAAATTGCACAAGATTGGCTATTTATAGCTTTACATGACTCAAAATCCTAATTCTAATTGAAAAAATATAAGTTTCTTAATGTGACTTGAACACTAATAAGACACAACTTATTGGACTAAACAAGCTGGATATGCCTTAGTAGGCTTACAAGACCCAAACAAACATTAGGAAATAGAAAATTACTTAAAAACTACGAAAGTAGCTAAAAATTGGAAAAGTTGGTCCGACAAGAATCTGTCGGACAGTTTCTACATTTTTTCCACTGATTTTGTCAACCAATTATAATCCGTTCCACGGCTAGCTCAGTTAGGACCCCCGATTACACTTCTTCCAAGTATGGATTCGTATCAGTTGGTATCAGAGTTTCAACTCTTGATCCAGGTTAATACCCTTTTTCTTTTCTTGTTTTCCTCTTTGTTTTTCTACCAAACCCTACCTAATTCAAAAAAAAAAATTTTGTTCACTGTTCTAGAGTTTGAATTTTGTGTGATCGCCTTTGTTATCGTTTGTTCAATTATTGTTTCTTGTTGAGTCATCTTTGTTTGTATGTTTAATTGAGTAAAAAAAAGTACTGTTCACATACTGTAGCGGTGCTATTCTTCGCTACTGTAGCAACACTGTTCATCGCATCATTACTATTCATCATACTGTAGCAATACTGTTCATCCGAAAAAAAAAAATATTTTCATACCTTGTGCTTGTCTCTTGTTGTTCTTGAGTCTTGTAGTTGATTTGGGTGTTTTTTGAAATTCTTGGATTGTATCATTGTGATTCTTGGAAACCTTGAATCAAAAATTTCAAAATCTTGTGATTCTTGAAACCCTAGTTTATTTTCTTGAACTTGGAATTGTGACTGTTCTTGTTTCTTGATTTGAATTGAAAGAAAAAAGGAGGGAAGAAAACTTGATCCATGAGAAAAAAGAAAGAAACAAGTTGTTAGACGGATCATAGTCTTGAATTTGGAAACCTAATTTGAGTTGGATTGTTGCCAAAATCTGGTCACATGGATCCTTGTCCAATTTGGTTTGTTAAGCCGCTAGACACACTTAGGAAAGCTCCTTAAAGTAACATCTTGCTTTCCAAAGTGAATCCAAGAATCAATTGATCTAAGTTTCCAAATTCCAACGAAGTACAATTGGATAGAATCACTAAATTTCCAAATTTTTGTTGAGTCACTGTTTTTATTAGTTCTAGCCATTCGTTTCTTCTGTTGTTGTATAATTTCGTCCATCTTTGAGTCATTTTTTGAATTATTTGAGTCAAGTCTCATCAACTCCTAGCCATTCGCCTAAAAACTCCTAGCCATTGCCACTGTGTTGATTGAATTGTTAAACATTCTTGATCAATTGTGAGCAAATTCAATTAGTCCCAAGAGTTATGATTAAGGACTTGAAAGAGTAGTGAGATTAATAGAGCGTACTTACTTGAGTGTAAACACGAGAGTGAGTGGATAGATGTAAGGGAGTGTTGTGAGGAAATTTCTTTCTTGTCACTAACCATTCTTCCAGATTCACATACACACTTTTGGTCAAATGGAGAGATCTACCTCTAGCTATTCAAGTGGAGGACCTTATCACATTCATGATTGGCGACGTCATGAGGAGGAATTAAGAGGATATCGAGGAGTTGGTTCTTCTAACTTTGAAATATCCATACCATCTTTCAGTTGTCTTAAAGATCCTGATAGGTAGAGAAAGTGGAATGCTTCTTTGGACATCAATCTTATACTAAGAAGGAGAAGGTAAAATTGGCTACTCGTGCTTTTAATGATTATGCTTTAACATGGCGGAATCAATTTGTGAAGGAACGTCGATTATGTGTAAAAATTGCCACTTGGGATGCATTGAAGAGGATAATGCTTAAGAGATATGCTCCTACTTACTTTAGAGAGTTGCTGCAAAAATTTCACTTAATTAAGGTTCTAAGTCCGTGGTTGAATATTTTGAAGAGATGGAGTCAATAATGAAGTAAGTTGGGATTGAAGAAAATCTAGACACTGCTATTGACCGATTTTTGAGTGAAATGAAAAGGAAGATTGTTGATCGCATTGAAGTACTATCTCATATGAAGTTGAGGGATGTGGTAAGTATGACGATTAAAATTGAAAGGAGACTTCAAAGAAGGAAAGAGGAGGTTCATCTGACAAATTCCACACCTAAGTCTAAGAATGAGTCACATGAGGAATCATGGTGGGATATCTACCAATGACTTCTACATGCGAAGCGAGTAAAGGAGAAAGCAAAATGCAATAATCAGTCACCTTCTAACTTGGACTTTGTGGAAGTTGTTGCTATTGCAAATCCGGCTAAACCCATCCAAAGTAGAGTTGAGTTTGAAGAAATTATTATTGAAGTTATAGAATGGGAGGAGGAAGTTGCGAGTGAGCTCAATGATGTACAAAATGTGAATGTACATGAAGTAAAAGTCAAGAGAAGGTATAATGAAAAAGACAGTGCATTGTGCTTGAGCGAGAACATGAGCGAGAGTTCTCTTGAGATTAAGAGTATGATTGTAAAAATTGAGGGAATTAGTGAGACTTCTTATTTGTCTACTAATAATCTTATCTTTGCTTTGTTTAGTGTTCATTGTCTTATGCAGGTTAAGCAAGGTCAAGTGAAGGGTTTTATGACATGCACTATTTCTAATCCAGTTGAAGGAGTAATGATCTCTCGAGAAGTTGCATATTTCTACCACCAATCTATAGCAAAGTGTACTGCCTTAGTAAACCAGTCT